TGCACGGAGGGAGATGGCGAAGCATCTCATAATGAATACCATCAGAGCCCGCCGCCGTAGAACCACAGAGGGCCAGGGCAGAACGAAGTTCAGAGAGAGAGAGAAGGGATCATTATAGGGAAGCCGAAGGCGAGTGCAGAAATCTAAAGGACGAGACTCAAGGACAGGTTTACGAAGAAGGAAAGATTGGGGAAGATTAAGACCAGAGCCAACAGAAGAAAAGTGGGAACCCAGTTCGGTAGCGACCTGCAACAGGTCCGCCACAAGAGTACCATGGAGGTGAAGGACCGGTGAAACATCGGGAACGAACTTACCCGTTATCTTGCGGATACGCTTCCAGATTTGTGGCTCAGGAGTTTCGGACATAATTGTGGAGACATAAGATGCCCAACATTCACGCTTAGCCATTCGGATGGCCCTATGGGCCACCGCACTCTCTTTCCAAAAGAAAAGAAAAGAATCGGCCGTCTGCCGACGGCGGTGCCTCTTCCAGGCTGCACGCTTACAGCGGACAGCTCGAGCACAGTCCGCATTCCACCAGGGAACGCACTTCCGCGGACCCCGAGAGGCAGAGCGAGGAATAGAGCAGAGGGCAGCGTCGAAGACAGTGTCATGAAAAAGGAGGAGAGCACGAGGGAGAGGCACAAGGGAGACATCAGAGACAGCAGCACTGAGGGTAAATAGGTTCCAGTCCGCCTTCGCAAACTGCCACCTAGGGAAGGAGAGGGAAGGGCGAAAAGAGAAAAGGAAACAAGGTTGGGGAAATGGTTACTGCCATGGAGGTCATCAAGAACCTGCCACGTAGAATCTAAGTAAAGAGAAGAAGAGCAGAGAGAAAGATCAAGACAAGAAAGGGTGCGAGTCCGAGAATCCAAATGAGTGGGCTCACCAGAATTCAGAAGAGACAGGGAAGAATGAGTCGGCTCACCAGAATTCAGAAGAGACAGGGAAGAAGAGAGTAGAAACGGCTCAAGAAGGCGACCCCGGGTGTTCGTCAGAACATCACCCCAAAGGGAATGACGACAATTGAAATCACCCAGCAGGAGCACAGGCTCCGGCAAGGAGTCCAGTAAGTGTTTCTGATCAGGAAGAGAACGCGGGACACTCGGGGGGAGATAAATGGAACAAACAGTGTACCATTTCCCAACAATGATACGAGCAGCAGAACAATGGAGAGGCGAAGGAAAAAGTCAGGGGACAAAGGGAACATCAGAGCGAATCAAGAGAGCTGAAGAGTTATGAGCCCCAGGAACAACTGGGCGGGGGGGGGGGGGGAGAGAGAGAAAGGAATAGCCACGAAAACGACCAGGATGAGCACCAAGCATCGGCTCCTGGAGACAGACACAAAGGGGCGAAATTAGAAGTTGGAGTTCGAGGAAATTGGCGTAATAACCTCGAACGTTCTATTGAAGAATAGACATCGACGAGAAGAGAAAGGACAACAACAGAGAACAAGGAAGAAACAAAGGCAAAAGAGCAACATAGCACGTTAAAGAATATCAGGGTCAGCAAAATCAGGGTTAGGGGGCATGGGTAAACTGAGCAAAGACGGAGGGAAGGAAGCGGGAGAACAGACCAGAGGTGGGCGGGCGGGGTCCGGAGGAGGAAGAAGAGGAGGAGACAATGGAGAGGAGCAGTCAAGGACAGCAGCAGGAAGAGGGGGGAGTAGAAAGAAGGGAGCGCACCTCAGCAAGGGCAGCAACTGAGAGGGAAGCGGGGGCCAAAGAAACCTCCATAGCAGGAACAGGGGGAACAACCACTGAAATGGGAGGTGAAGGGGCGATAGAGCCAGTAGTAGGGGCCGAGGAAGAAAGCGAAGCCTTCTTACCCGCCGGGGAGGAGGAAGGAGAGGAGCCAGGCTTACGCTTCTGACGTAAAGATACAGGTGTCCCAGCAACTACGTATCGGGCAACGGATTCCAGCGTCTCAACAGGAGGAGCTGAATGAGAGCACACACGATGACCGTTAGGAGAGCGATGGACATCCGCCTGCACCGACAGGAGGTGGGGAAAGTCAGTAGATGGAGGAGAAGGATGGGAAGGAGGATCGGAGGGAGACGAGGAAGAAGACACAGGAGATATGACAGACCGGATAGAAAGAAGGGGAACCCCAGACAGAGGACCAGTAGGGGGACCCTTCAGGACAGAACTCAAAAGAACAGAGGAGGGGGTAGTGGGCGTATCAGGGTCCAAGGCCCGAAAACGGTTGTGAGTCTGAGGACGGTAGGAAGGACGAGGAGAGGAAGAGCGCAACACGCGAGCATATGAGACGTTAGTATAAGGCGGGAGCCGGCGAACCTGGCGCCTCGCCTCGGGAAAAGATAAACGCTCCCGGTGCTTCAAGATGAGGACGGCTGCCTCAAGCTTGTAATGGATACAGGCACGGGAGAATGTAGGATGGGCCTCACCGCAGTTGAGGCAGCGAGCTTGGGGAGAAGTGCACTCCGACTTAGAGTGACCTTCAACCCCACACAAAGAACAGAGAGAGACAGTCCCAGAGCAGCGGAGGGCACCATGCCCAAATTTCCAGCACTTGTTACAAAGCCGAGGTGAAGGAATATACTCCTGGACAGAGCACCTGGCACCAGCAAGAATGACAGAGGATGGAAGGGTCCTACCATCAAAGGAGATCTTCACAACTCGAAGGGGTTGACGGCGACGACCACGAGGGGGACGAGTAAACGAGTCTACCTGGAGGACAGAATGGCAGAATGGCTTTGGACAGACAGAATGGCCTTGGGTATCAAGGATATGCCGAATGTCATCGTGGCAGCCCTGCAGATTCCGAATACCGGTTGCAACATGGGGCGGGAGGAGAATAGTGCCAACACTGGCATTCAACCGAGTGTTCTTTGAGACCCGAACAGGGCTTTCGCCAAGGCAGGATAAGACAGCCAAGCGGGAAGCTGCATCCTGAGAAGGAGCAGCAAAGACACGTGTATGGAGACAAGTTGGGTTGAAAGTAACAGACACATCCACGGAATCAATGAGATGCCGATGGAGGGAGAAATCGTCAGGAGGCGCAGAATTTAGAGCGAGGAGATCAAAGTATTTGGCCCACGAAGCAGGACCAAATAAGGCCTGATACGCATCAGTACAGGAAGGAAACGAGCGAGTGCGGCCGTGGCGCTGACGGCGTTGAGAACCCCCAGAGAGAGAGGGGCCAAAAGGTGCAGTAGTCACAACGAGAGACATAGCCGCACCAGGGGACGAAGTGGTCACCACTGGGGGCTTGAGGCTCGACCCAACCACAGAGGACGGAGGGGAGCTGGGGGAAGAATTCAGGACGGTCAAAGGAGGAGCAACGTCGGGGCCCAATGCAGCGGGGGCTACAAAGCCCGGTCTTCCAATACAGGCCGACTCGGGGGCTTGGTCTCCCACCCCACGAGCCTGAGAGGGTACAACAGAAACATTCAACGACATATAGATAAAGAGAAGAAATTCATCCACGAATGTGCCCCCATACCCACCATGGAGCCACAATTAGAGGCAGGACACCCAACAGGAAGCTATTGTCGATCATGCCGGGGCCCTCCAGGGGTGTGTCGTGAGTATACGCCCCACAAACGCCACCTTAAGAACCGTCAGTCCGTTGAGATCGGGTTCAGTGACTAGAGGGGGATTGACAATAAAAGGTTCCCCTCGCTCGAGACGTCGGGTACTACAGTTCTACGGGTGCAAGAGTATGCCTCCTCAAGCACCCGGGCGTCAAAATAGAAGAAGTCCAAAGGAAAAACCAAAACAAGCAAAAGGTCGGCAGGAAAAGACAAGCGGATAGGAGAAGAGGGGGGAGAAAAACGAAAGAAAAGGAAAAGGAAAAGCGATCCGGCACAATTAGAGAAGAGAGCAGCAGGAGTGCAAGGCCACAAAAGGACAGAGGACTGTCCAACGGAGCATCACACTCCAGCAGCCGTCCACTAAGCCCCCTCACGGCGCCAACGAGCCGGATGGGGAGGGGGAAGGACGGTGGGAAGACAGTGCAGGAGAGCGAACACCTCGTCATCAGCACAGGACGGTGGGAAGACAGTGCAGGAGAGAGAACACCTGGTCATCAGCACAGGACGGCGGGAAGACATAGGAGTAGACCTAACAAAATGTCCGTTTATTCTTGAGGAACTTGGACAAGGAATTTCTTGTCCATATACACATCTAGTGTGAGAGACGCTCATGAATATACAGCCTCGGCATGGAACCTGCATATAAGACAAAGATAATTTTTAAATATTTTTAAATTTAACTAGTCCAAAGACATACATCGATGTTCGGTCCTGAGCTGAAGGTTTTAAGCAATGAGGAAAATTTAGGGAACTGGACCCTAATGAAATCACATACACACTCACACACACAGGACGGGGAGGCATGATAACCACCTACAGGCCAGGGAGACATGATAACCACCTTCAAAATTCTCAGGGGAATTGACAGGGTGGACAAAGACAAACTCTTCAGCACGGGTGGGCCTCGAACAAAGGGACACACGTGGAAACTTAGTACCCAGATAAGCCACAGAGACGTTAGAAAGACTTTTTTTTCAGTGTCAGATTAGTTAATAAATGGAATGCACTAGGAAGTGATGTGGTGGAGGCTGACTCCATACACAGTTTCAAATGTAGATATGATAGAGCCAAGTAGGCTCAGGAATCTGTACACCAGTTGAGAGGTGGGACCAAAAAGACAAAGCTCAATACCCGCAAGCACAATTAGATGAGTATATTTAGGTGAGTACACACACACACACACACACACACACACACACACACACACACACACACACACACACACACACACACACAATTCCACAAGCCTTTCAGGTATGGCTATTGGAACAAATCTTGACAAAGATAACTCTCACAGATACATAGTTACACAGTTCTTTATGTAAATAATGACAATAATTAAAGATATATACTTAATGAGGAAGGTCTTGATGTGTTGCTCCACTGCGAAGTGACAGCCGGCTGTTTCACAGTGTTATATTACAAAAGGCAAGAATATACAGGATGACGACGTCTTCACTTTAATGACTAACATAAACAAAGAAAGTTGCTTCCAAAAATTATGCACACTTTAGAAGACGTAACTGAATGGACTGAAAGGGCAATGTCTTTCTAGTTTACCCATGCACAGTGGTGCTGTGTTAAGATCTTGTGTGTGTGGCTTACCAGTTGTTTTATGTTTATGTGCCACTTGTGACGCAGACAACACTCACTGCTACAGTCAGCATCAGGTATGACAACACTCATTGGCACAGGCACCATCAAGTGTGTGTATTTAGTGTTTTCTTTTGCGACTCTTCTGCCTCTGTCTGCTACAAAACTAAGAGAATGTTGCACTGAAGGATTTGCATCCCACAAGAAGCTGCTTCAACAAGTTTCTATGATTAAATCAAGTTTTGCCACTATGCACTTGTCTAAACGGTGAGTGGCGGGACACTGTCACTTGCACAAGCACTAGCAAGGGAAGGTGAAGCACTCTGGACCATTATGCAACACTCTTAACTAATGTATTCACTTTCGCATCTAAATTAGTCGATATGAAACACATGACTTTGACCAATATATATATAACGCTTGGGTCGGTCTGGAACAATTTAAATCATGTGTGAATCAGCGTGAACTAATGCATCTCACTTAAGTTTCACCTCAAACTAATGCACAATTTTCTTGCTCAGGTCTACTTATATATAAACTTTTGGTAGGTCTTCATTGTTATTGTAAATGTTTGTATTTAAAGATGCTGAGAGTCAGAAGAACCCCCAGTAACAGTGGAGGGAAGTCCTGGCCTTCACACGGGGCGATGGTGGCCTTCACACGGGAATATGGGAGCCTTCACACTGGGCGATGGTGGTCTTCACACGGGACGATGTCGAAGGTTTTTCTGGCGTCTCAAAGTCAGTGGCGTCGTCGCCTGCTCTCGAGGACTTTGGCTGTAAAACAGAGAAAGTAATTAATTATCAAAAGAAGGCACCAAACCGGGAAGGCTATGTAGCACCATCAAATGTGCAGAATAATCAGAGGGCGCTAAATATCACCAAGGATGCCAATACGAGAACAGAAACGCATAAGGCGAACGATATAAAAAGTATCCGAATCGCCAAGAATTCTATCGAGGGACAAGCAACCGTGTGGGACAGTAGAAAAACAAGATACACGCTCGTTGTGGAAGTTAAGACATTCAACAAGAATAAGCACGACTGTAAGAGATACAATGCAATTTGGACAATAAGGAGCAGGGCGGCGCTCCATTAAGTGACCGTGAGTTAAGCGAGTATGGCCAATATGCAACCTCGCCAGAGCCGTTTCCCATCGCCGGTTATGGTGGTAGGCGGACGGCCATAAGGACACACACCTCTTAAGAGTACGCAGGTTGTTATCAGTAACAGAAGACCAACAATCCTGCCAATGCATAAGTCTGGAGGATGAATAAATGGGTAAAAGTCGAAATAAGGAAAACCTTTACGAGACATGGGACAAGAATGGACAGCTTCCCTAGTGGCAGCATCTGCACCCTCATTTAAAGAGAGACAAATATTGCTGGGAACCCAGCAAAACTCAACTGACCTAAATTTAATGTGAATAAGAAACAGCCAATGCCGAATCTTGACAACCACTGGATGAACCGGATAAAGGGACCCAAGAGCCATGAGGGCACTACAAGATTCAACGACAACTACAAAAGAAGATTGACAACGACAAAGCAGGAGATGAAGAGCATAGAGAATAGCATAAAGTTCCGCTGTGAAGATGCTAGTCTCCGGAGGTAGGCGACGCATATAAGTGCTGTCAGGGAAAACAACAGAGTACCCTACACCGTTCGCAGACTTTGACCCATCGGTGAAGATGGAAACGGAGCGGGAGTGCGAAGAAAAGTGCTCAAGGAAAAGTAGTTTCAGAACCGTAGGAGGGGTAAAAGCTTAAGTGATGTGGGTTAAGGATGTTCAAAAGTGCAGAACGAGGACTCTCCAAGGGGGCAAGGAAGGATCATCAAATATTAGAAATGTCGATCCGAAAGAGAATCCTGTAAGCGAGATAACTGGACAGAAAGAGGGAGGTGGTGAAGAGGAACAAGAACCACAGGAGGGGTAAAAGTTAAAGCACGACAGAGACGAGAGGAAGGATGTTGCAAGGACCGCGCAAGATAGCAAAAACAGCAGCGATCACGGCGGTCCTGGAGAGACAGGAACCCAGTGTCAACATACAAGCTGAGGACGGGAGTCGAACGAAAGGCACCAGAGCTGAGGTGCATCCCAATACGGTGCAAAGCATCAAGACGGCGAAGAGTAGGAGGAGAAGCAGACGAGTAAGCAGCCATAATCGAGTTTAGACAAGACGAGAGAGGAATGTAAAGCGAGGAGAGTGCGCCTATCCACTCCCCCAAGAAGTATGGGACAACACCGGAAGGAGGGTAAGGGCCTTAGAGCAATCAACTTGGAGGTAAGAGATATGGGGAGACGAAGACAAACGAGTGTCAAAAACCAACAACAAAAGCTTAGCGGAATCCTTATACACAATGGGGTGACCATAAAGCGACACAGAAGGATGAAGAACGACACGCTTCTGAGGAACAGTCATGGCACATGTCTTAGACATAGAGAACCTGAAGCCATGATTGGTTGCCCAAGACGACACGGCATCAATCGCAAGTTGAAGTCGCTGTTGAAGGAGAGGTGAATCATCACCCCAACAGCAAAGGGTAAGATCGTCGACGTAGAGAGTGGAGAAGACGCCAGAAGGAAGAGAGGAAAGAAGACCATTGAGGGCAACCAGAAAAAGAGTAGTGTTCAGAACACTACTTTGGGGCACACCTTCATATTGCTGAAAAGAGGCAGGGAGAGTGGTACCACTCCTCACGCGAAAGGAACAAAGAGAGGAAGCTTTGAAGAAAGAAAGGGAGATTACCACGAAGGCCTAAAGAATGAAGTTGGGATAGAATATGATACTGCCAAGTGGTGTGGTAAGACTTTTCCAGGTGAAATAGGACGGTAACAACGGAGGTCTTCGTAGCAAAAGCAGTACGAATATAGTCTTCCAAGTTTACCAAGACATCTGTTGTCTCCGCAGCAAAAGCAGTACGAATATAGACCTCCAAGTTCACCAGGACATTTGTTGTTCTGCGGCACTTGCGAAAACCAAATTGAGAAGGGGAGTGGTAGTAAAAGTGTTCTAAGAACCACATCAGACGAACGTTAACCATTTGTTCAAAGAGTTTGCAGACACAACTCGTGAGAGCAATAGGGCGAAAGTCCTTAGGGGATGTCCCCAGAGACTCTGGTTTTCGAACAGGGAGGACAACGGCATCGAGCAAGTCTTCAGAGACTGACGATGACTTCCAGACCCGATTATACAGACTCAGTAAATACCGAGACGTGCAAGGAGGGAGATGGCGAAATATCTCATGATGAATGCCATCGGAGCCCACCGCCGTAGAACCGCAAAGAGCAAGAGCAGACCGAAGTTCAGAGAGAGATAAGGGATCGTTATAGATTGAGGAAGATGAGAACCAGAGCTAACAGAAGAAGAGTGGGAACCCAGTTCGGTCGCGACCTGCAATGGGTCCGCCACATGAGTACCATGGAGGTGAAGGACCGGCGAGACATCAGGAATGAACTTACCCGCTATCTTGCAGACACACTTCCATATCTGCGGCAGAGGAGTTTCGGACGTAATGGTGGAAACATAAGACTTCCAACACTCACACTTAGCTGTATGGATGTCCTTACGGTCCACCGTATTCGCCTTACGAAACAAAAGAAAAGAATCGGCTGTCTGCCGGCGGCGTGTCTCTTATAGGCTGCACGCTTACAGCGGATAGCCTGAGCACAATCTGCATTCCACCAGAGAACCCACTTCCGTTGTCTCTGAGAGAAACAGCGAGGAATAGAGCGAAGGGCAGCGTCAAAGATGGTGTCATGAAAAAGGAGGAGGGCGCGAGGGAGAGGTAGGAGAGAGCAGCACAGAGGATAAATAGGTTCCAGTCTGCGGATGAGTCACAATAACGTGGCCGAAGTATGTAGACCAGACCAAACACTAGAAGGTGAAGGGACGACGACGTTTCGGTCCGTCCTGGACCATTCTCAAGTTGATCGACTAGAGAATGGTCCAGGACGGATCGAAACGTCGTCGTCCACCTTCTAGTGTGGTCTGGTCAACAGATTCCAGTCTGCCTTAACTAACGTAGGGGAGGAGAAGGGAGGGGGTGAAAAGATGAAAAGGTAACAAGGATGGGGAAATGGTCACTGCCATGGAGGTCATCAAGAACTCGCCACGTGAAATCCAAGTAAAGAGACAATGTGCAGAGAGAAAGATCAAAACAGGAAAGGGTGTGAGTCCGAGAGTCCAAATGAGTGGTTCATTAGAATTCAGAAGAGACAGGGAAGAAGAGAGGCTGAATGGTTCGAGAAGGCGACCCCGGGTGTTTGTCAGGACATCACCCCAGAGGGTATGTCGACAATTAAAATCACCCAGTAGGAGGACAGGCTCTGGGAAGGAGTCCAGTAGATGTTTAAGATCGGGAAGAGAGAGCGGGACATTAGGGAGGAGGTAAATGGAACAAACCATGTACCATTTATGCAGAAAGACATGTGCAGCAGAACATTGGAGAGGAGGCAGAAAGAGTTGGGGGACTAAGGGGACATCAGAATGAATCGAGAAAGCAGAAGAGGATTGGGCCCCAGCAAAAGCCTGGGGGGAAGAGAGAGAGGAATTACCATGGAAGCGACCTGGATGAGCACCAAGCATCGGCTCCTGAAGACAGACACAAATGGGCGAAAACTTAAAAATCCGAAGTTGGAGTTCATGGAAATTGGCGTAATATCTGCGAATATTCCATTGAAGAATAGACATCGACAAGAAGAGAAAGGACTGCAACAGAGTACAATGAAACAAGGGTGAAAAAGGAACACAGCACGTTAAAGAAGTGCAGGATCAGGATCAGGATCGGCGAAGTCAAGGTTAGGATGCATGGGTACACTGAGTAAGGATGGCAGGAAGGGAACGGGAGGACCGACCAGAGGCGAATGAGCAGGGTCTGGAGGAAGAGGAGGAAGGCGGTGGGGGGGGGGACAACTGAAGGTCAAGGACAGGAGCAGGAGGGGCAGAAACCAGGGAGTGTACCTCAGAAAGGGCAGCAACCGAGAGGGAAGTGGGGGCCAAAGCAACCTCCATAGCAGGAACAGAGGCGCAACCCCCAAAATGGGAGGGGATGGAGCGAGAGAGTCAGAGGTAGGGGGCGAGGAAGAAAACGATGCCTTCTTACACGCCTGGGAGGAGGAAGGAGATGAGCCAAGCTTTCGCTTCTGACTCAGAGACAGACGTCCCAGCAACAACGGACTGGGCAATAGATTCAAACGTCTCAACAGGAGAAGAAGGAGAGCAAACAACACGATGACCACTGGGAGAGCGTTGGACATCAGCCCACACAGACAGGTGGCGCGGAGAGCTAAGAGACGGAGGAGAAGGATGGGAAGGAGGATCGGAGTGAGACAAGGAAGAAGACACAGGAGGCAAGACAGAATGGGTAGAAAGAAGAGGAACCCCAGACAGAGAATCATGAGGGGGATCCTTCAGAACAAAACTTAAAGGAATACAGGAGGCGGTGGGCGTGTCTGGGACTAAGTCCTGGAAACGGTTGTGAGACTGAGGAAGGTGAGAAGGACGAGGAGAGGAAGAGTGCCACACGTGAGCATAAGAGACGTTAGCGTATGGCGGGAGACAGTGAACTTGGCACCTCGCCTCAGGAAAAGACAAACGTTCCCGTTGCTTCAGGTTGAGAACGGCTGCCTCAGGTTTGTAACGTACACATGTGCGGGAGAAGGTAGGGTGGGCCTAACCTCAATTGAGGTAGCGAGCCTGAGGAGAAGTGCACTCTGACTTAGAGTGACCTTTGTTCCCACACAAAGGAACAGAGAGAGAGAGAGTTCTGGAGCAT